ATTATATCACATGACTAGAACCAATCTAGGGAAACAAAAAGGCACTGAGAATCCATATCATAACAAATTCTAGTACCCTTGATCATTTCATTTTAACTGCCTGAATGCCTCGTTTTCTTCTCTTTAACTTCTTTTTTGGGAGGTGGTGGGAGGGGGAAGGCCAGGGATTGAACTCAGGGGCACTCAACCACTGAGCCACATCCCAGCCCTATTTTATATTTTATTTAGAGATAGAGTCTCACTGAGTTGCTTAGAGCCTCGCCATTGCTGAGGCTGAGGCTGGCTTTAAACTCGAAATCCTCCTGCCTCAGCCTCCTGAGCCCACTCTGTCCTTTAACTTCTTACTCAAAGACTTCCCAAAGCCATTCCTAAACATTTTCTCCAGAGTAGACTCCTGGAATTTTTATAATTTTGTTTGTTACAACTTCGAGGATTTTTTAAAACTTTTTTTTTTTGTGTGTGTGTACTTAAAATTATATTTTCTATTGTATTATAATTTTCTCTCCCTGCCCCCTTCTTTTCTCTTTTTCTCCCTTGGTACTAGGAATTGAACCCAGGGGTTTTACTACTGAGAGACATCCTTTAGTTCTTTTATTTTTTTTTAAGTATTTATTTTTTAGTTGTATTTGGACATAGTACCTTTATTTTATTTATTTTTACGTGATGCTGAGGATTGAACCCAGGGCCTTGCACCTGCTAGGCAAGCCCTCTACTGCTGAGCCATAACCCCAGCTCCAGTCCTTTTATTTTGAGACAGGGTTTTGTTAAATTGCTGAGGGTCTTGTTCAGTTGCTGAGGTGGGCTTTGAACTTGCGATCCTCCTGCCTCAGGTCCCCTGAGTTGCAGAGATTATAGGCATGCCCCTGGATTATAAATTTCTTGAAGTTATTGTGGATGTTGAGTTGAACCATGAAGGATGGTAAGAATTTGGATAGGTGGAGAAGGGAATTCTTGTCCTAAGGAGGGAAACTGTATAAACCACAGTTCTTATGATAAAAAGAACAAGATTCTAAATAGATCCTTGAAGAATATGAGTGAAATAGTGACAAAGTTGTGAAAGTAGAAAATGACTTTTTTGTTTGTTTGTTTTGATACTGGGGATTGAGGCCAGGGGTGCTTTACCACTGAGCTACATCTCTAACCCTTTTTAAATTTTTTTATTGAGACAGCGTCTTGCTAAGTTGCTTAGGGCCTTACTAAATTGCTGCAACTTCCTTTAACTGATCTGATTCACTGGGATTATAGGCCTGCATTACTGTGCCTGGCCAGCTCACTTTAATTGGGTGTAGGAAGGGCTTAATGGAGGATTGAAGGAGAGAATGCTTGTCCTACTATACTTCCCTTTTATTGTTATATTACTCCACTAAGGGAGAACAGAGCCAATATCATGATGGGATGTAAAGTGCCAGTTATAATATACTATGATGCCATGGTACGCTTTTAAATCTGCAGAATTGAGCCATCACTAAAACCCGTTTCATCTATTTATGAATTATTTAATTAGAGGTCTGCAAACTTTTTGTAAAGGACCAGATAGATAGCAAGTATTTGAAATTTTGGGGCCACAGAATTCCTCTGTTGCATATTCTTATTTGTTTATAGTCTTTTATAAATGTAAAAAGCATTCTTAGCTCTAGAGCCAGACAAAACTATCCATGGACTGGATTTGGTCTCCAGAATGTAGTTCAACTTCTTATTTAGTTGACTGGGGTGCTTATTTCTGAACTTAAAATTTCTAGAATTTGGACACCAAGACTGGCTTGGTGATGGTATTTTTCCATCTGTCTGTATTTTCATTGTCTGCTCACAGGTTAGTTACCGAGAATTCTTCATTCTCTTTCCTGCAATCTTGATAGTTTTGCGTTTCAGGTTGTCTTTCATTTCTAAATGCTTTGGAAACTTTCTGATGTCTGAGACTATTTTACTTCTCTTTACTAGCTGTGTACTCATTAACACATGAGGATTTTAATGGTTTTTACAAATAACATACTTTATTTGTATTCTGTTATAAATTATGAACAATTTATTAGTTTTTTAATATAGTAAAGTTCAAATATCAGACTTGAGAAAACAGCATATTATATAAACAGAGTTATTTAATCTCAGTACTCATTGGTTTAATTGCGTTTCTGAGTTAGATTCTCCTATATGTTGTCTTGTTTTTGCTTTACATATATTCTCTGTAATCAAGTAGGTATGCCAGATTTTTCTATCAGGAGAAGTTACTCCTGTATACAGGAGTCCCCGATACACACTAACTTCAAAACTAACCCCAAATATGCACAATTGTAAATGCACATTCACACTTTTACACACATACACTTTTACATACAGGAAAACATATACACTCTTATATATACACACAATACATATACAAATAAATACCACAAACATAGATATGTACATGTTCCCAATCTTGAATTGCCATGCTCAATTGCTGAAACTAGTCTTCCCATATTGTGTCCTTCCTCATTGATTATATGTATCTATATATTATATGTATCTATATTTCTATTTGATTAATCTAATACTTGTTGCTTCTCTCTTTGTTTAATGCTCTTATTGTCCTACTTATTGCATTCTGCATTTCATTTATTTTTCTATAATTTCTTGGAGTTTTACAGTTGTAAAAACTTTAATCCTTTAAGTAAGCAAATACTCCAAACTCACAAAATTTTTAAGTGAATGATCAATGCATATCATTATTATAAACACATTCTCACATTTGTAGTACATTGAAAATATGCGATATGTATTCACTATTAACACTGTGAAAATTTTAAGCTTATTTTCAGGAAGATTAGGTAAACAAACAATGCAAACAGGTCTTATAAATAGTCACAACTTACCTGTCAGTTGTTGGTATAAAGAGTATAAATAAATAGATGTGGTTTGCAGGTGATTGGCAGTGTTATACATTCATTGGTTACAGACACAAGCTGAACCTTGGGGAAAACACATCCGAGTGCAGAGGCATCCTTCTCTCTCTACTACTTAGCTACATCCCCCCCCGCCCAAACCTTTTTATTTATTTTCAGACAGGGTCTTGTTAAATTGCCTAGGCTGGCCTTTAATTTGGGATCCTTCTGCCTTGGCCTTCTGAGTAGCTGGGATTAATGGTATGTACCATCAAGTCCCTGTAAAACTGGAATTTTTTAAGGTTCTTGTTGCATATTGCAAAATTGCTTTCTAGAAAATTTTTAACAGTTTGTGCTATCATGAGTAGTGTACAAAGATGCCTCTTTTATTGCATTGTTATAATAGTATACATTATAGTATCATATTACATTATCATTTGTAGCTGCTGGTATAGACTAGATTATGTTGTAGTAACAAACAATCTTGAGAAGCTCTGTGGCTTAATACAATAAAGCTTCTTTCTTGTTTATGCTGTATGTCTAACGTGTATCATCAGGAGTCTCACTTCTTCAGAGCCGTTTGTTTAACCAGCCTCATTGGAAATTCCAATTCATCACTTGCATACATAATCCGTGTAGCAGTGGGTAGGTCTTCCAGCTGTGTTTTGGTTCTTGAAGTTTATATCTAGAAATCTCTCATATCACCACACATTTCAGTAATTAAAGCAAGTATTTAGCTATACCTAACTTGAAAGAAGGCAGTGAAGTACAATCTTGTCATGAGTCTGGTGAAGAGAAAAATTGAAATGTATTAATGACATCTTATTTTTAAAATAACTTCATTTACATTGATGAAATTACAGATCATTTTAATTTGATTTTCTTTTTGCTAACATAGAGAAACATTTTTCATATTTATTAGACGTTTGTTTTATTTAACTTTCCCTTTTAGGCTTTATAAACATGTGCTATTGGTTTACTTTTACATTTCTAGATTTTTAAATTTTATATTTTTTTTGTGGGAATGGGCATTCAGAGTGGTAATATTATAGGGAGTGCAAACTTTTAGAAAATATTTTGTTGAAGGATTGAACTGGTAAAAGAAGTTAATTTTTTTTTCTCCTTTAATACACTGTATTGCCGGGTTTCTGTTCTTGGGATTAAAAGGCTCAGGGGTCATTCCAGTTAAACTGGGCTAACTGGGCTGCACGAAATAACCACACAAGAGACACAAATACCTTTTTCTTTGGGATCACTGTGATGGCTTCTCTGACCTTAAGGGTCCATAGAAAGAGAGAGAGCGCGAGAGCATGTGCTGACCCCTTTTATTTAGGAGAAGCTATTTAAATGAGGCAAGGGGTCAGGTTTCCGGGGGCTGAGTCTATCTTCATGATGTCAGTGGACATCAGCAGGTTGACTGACACCTGGATAGGCCACACCCAAGGGCACAGTAAGAGAAGGCACTTCCATGGAAGATTCTATCCTAAACAGGGTAAGGGGTTATATTACGAAGAAACAAGTGAGCATAGCTTTACCCATGGGGCTGTAGCAAGACACACTCATACACCAACCCTCGCACCCAAGAAGGGTGCCACATTTCTGTGACTGAGAACCTCAGCACATAGCCGGGAGTGTAACTCAGTCACGTGTAAGGTTGGCCTCGCACACAGTATGTTTTGATAGATTTCAAGAATCATCATTAATATTAAATAATCAAAGTCTAGCAGAAGTTGTTAATTCTCAATATTCTAAAGATTTCTAAAGAAAACTTGAACACAAAAATTTGTGAGTAAACAATCAAGTTAGTATTCTCCTATTGAAAGAATTAAATTATCCACTCAGATTTAGTTGTTTTGACCATGTCTGATTTTTTCCCCCCCTCTTCAATTCAGGTATCTGCCTAAACTGGAGCTGATGCTGTAGACATTTCTTTGTGGTTTCTCTAAAATCCTAAGGTGAGATATTTTATGAATACATTTGCCTTTTAAAATATATTTTATAATAAGAAAGATGTGTTTCTGAAAAATTTAAGACAACACCAAATGTCTTTTCCTTATTTATAATAATACTACATATATAGCATGCTTTTACTTTTTGTTTGTATGACATTTGACTGAAATAAACAAAACTGGTTCTAGCAATAAAATACTTTTTAGTGTATTTTCCCTTTATTTTTATACTAAAAAAATGGAGTTACACTGATGTTCTCTTACATACTTGAGAAAGATATTGGCATTATGATCTGATAGTCTTGAAGACAAATCCTTGATTAGTTAATCATAGATTAAAACTGGGAACTGCTTTAATAGGCCGGTTGGTAGGAGTTTTCTCTACCTTCTTGGACTTGATTATTTCTATAATCCCCTCTGTGGGGCCTATGTAATAAAGATATATCCATTAGTATGTTAATAGTTAATTTCTATAGAAAGTTTCCCTTCCACAGAAAGCTTCTATAAATAGTATTCTGCTATAAAGGTAAGGTTATTAGCCCTGTCCCTTTTCCTACCTGTCTTGAGTTAACTCGAGTCCTCTTCAGTTTTTTTTATTTTTGAAATTCTTCATTTTAAATTCTTCATGGGCCATTTTAAGTTTCTCTTTTGGTCTTTCCACCTGAGTCCAGTTGTTCTCTAAACTATTCTTGTCATTGTCAGCAGGGTATTTTTTTCCTAAAAGATAAATGTCAGCATAGCAGTTTAGTATTCAGAATCATTCAGTATCTCTACCTGGCCTAAAAGTAATTTACAAACTCTTTTATGGAACATTATAATTTTTTTTTTACAATTTTCCATCCCACTACTGCCCTAGGGATGATTGTTCAATTCCTGTGACACCTTTACTGAAAAATAATTTACATACCATAAAATCACCCATTTAAAGAGTACCATTCAGTGGTTTTTATTGTACTTCAGAGATGCACAACCAATACTACAATCTAATTTTGGAATATTTTCATCATTCTTAAAAATATTATTAGTAGTCTTTACTCACCATCCCCTACCCCCAGCCTCTGTCAGCTACTAATCTACTTACTGTCTCTATAGGTCTACCTCTTCTGGACGGTTCATGTAAGTGAAATTGTACAATTTATGGGTCTTTGTGATTTATATCTTTCATATAGCAAAACGTTTTCAAGATTCACCCATGTTGTAGCATTTATCAGGACTCCATTACTTTTTCTTACTGAATAATATTCCATTTTCTATGACTGGAGTTGAACTGGTAAAGAGCTGAGCTTCTAGGTGTCTGTCTGGGTAGTCAATTTTAAGAAAAGGGCCAAAATGAAAGTAACAGTTAAGTCTTTAATCATTTACTGCATTAGGATAAGAAAGAGATTAGCTCTGAGAGAGTATAGGCTCCCTGAGGTTGAGGTGGTCTCACTGCTGAGGAAGCCTTCAACAAAAGGTTTTTGCAGTTTATGGATCCAGGGGAAAGGTGAAATGGTTATGAGTGGACAAGTCCAAAGTCAGCCTAGGGAAAAGTATCTTCTATATTTCCTAGCCTCTTCAAAGGGCCTGAGGAAAGGCCTCAGCCAAAGGCCATGAAGAGCTTTCTGGATGAAGTCACCTGGGCCAGGAATGCTGAAATGCTAAAATTAAAAGCATGGCGAGCTGGGGCCTGAGTCTTTATATGTTGCTACACACTGGCTATGTCAAGTCTGGTGGGGAGAACCCTGCTATCCCTGTGAAGCCTTTAAATTGTAATTGTTTATGGTTGGGCTGAAAAAACCATGCATAAGTATTTTTATGGCCAGGAGCCGGACTTAATACATACAGGCCATATTTCATTCATTAGTTAGTGGACATTGATTTGCTTTAATTTTTTGGCAATTTATGAAAGTATGCTATGAATGTATATTTGTATGTAGTTTTTTTGTGTGGACATATTGTGCTTAATTTTTTCCTGAGGTGATAACCCTGTTTTCAGGTGTTTCCTATTTTCAACAGTGCCACAAGAAACATTCCTCTATATGACTCTTGCAGTACATGTGAAAGAGATTCCATTGGGTATATGTACCTATGAATGTAATTCCTGGGTCATAGGGTAGTAATGTTAATCTTAAAGAGAGAAAACAAACTTATTTCCAGGAGTTGTACCATTTTACCCTCATAGCTTCAGTGTATAAGAAATCCTGTCATTTTACAATCCCTCCAATATGTGATATTTTTCAGACTTTTTAATTTTGCTAATTGAATGATACAAAGTAGTGATCTTTAAAGATATATAGTGATCTTTTGAGACAACCTTAAAAAATGATGTATAATTTCCAATTTACAATAAAATGCAAATCTTAAATATATGGTTCAGTGACTTTTGACAAATGCTTATACTCATTTATTTCCACTCTCCTATAAAGCTTTAGAACATTTTATTACCTCTTAAGTTCCCTTGGACTCCTTAACATTTTTTCTTCTTACCAAAGGAAACTACTGTTCTTCTTTTGTTACTTTTTCAATTGGGTTGTTTACTTACTTAGAAGCATGCTTTATAGATTCTGTGTGAGTCTTGTGCCAGTACAATATTGAGTAGAAGTGGTAAGGGCAGACATCTTGGCTTGTTCCTGATTTTAGGGGATAAGTTCTCAGTTTTTCACTATGAAGCCTGGTGATATCTTCAGATTAAAGATTCTTTTATTGCTGAAAGGTGTCTTTTTTCCCCTCACATATAAAGATAATGTTGAATTCTAAGTATGGTGTTAAGGATAATTTTTAGAAGACGGTATGATCATGATTCTCCTATGGATAGGAAATGAACATTTGTCAACTATTTTATTTAACTCATTAATTACTGAGGAAACATTTCAAAGGAAGTTCTAAAGAGCTACTCATTTACATGCAATAAATGAATGGTGAAATAAAATTTTCAAATAAGTACAAAATGAACTTCTCTACTGGACAATTACCGATTTTGTCCCATTGGACACAAGTAATTTGCTTTCCGTAGGTAAGAAGAATTTGCATTATAACTAGTGTTCTTTAACTTATAGAATTGAAAGTTTGAAAGATGGAAATAGTGGATGCTTGAGCTAGGAAGGACATTCACTAGTCTTTTTTTCTTTTTAAGTTCACTTCAAAGGTTTTTACTATTTTTTTCCTGTAAAGTGTGGTCTTGCTTTAAACTTCCCTGATCCCTAGTAGTATTGAACCTTTTTCATGTATTTATTTTTTAAATTTTATATATGTATTTTTTAGTTATAGGTAGACACAGTATCTGTATTTTATATTTTATATGGTGCTGAGAAGCAAACTCAGTGCCTCATGCATGCTAAGTGAGCACTCTACCTCTGAGTCACAACCCAGCCCCTCATGTATTTATTCAGTACATGTGTTGTGTGTGAAATGCCTCTTGTCTTTTGTGCAACTTTCCATGTTTTTTTTTGGTGTATGTTAATGCGTTATATGTTTTTAATAATAATTCAGTATAGATTGTATGTTTTATGAACATTTTTCTTAGTTTATAACATCTTTTTTTTCTTTTGAGGTTTTTTTTTTTTTTGAAGGGGTAGTACTGGAGATTGAACCCAGGGGTGCTTTACCATTTAGGCTACATCCCCAGTCCTTTTTCTATTTTATTTTGAGACAAGGCCTCAGTAAGTTGCTTAGGGCTTTGCTAAATTGTGGAGGCTGACCTCGAGCTTGTGATCCTCCTGCCTCAGCCTCCCGAGTCACTGAGATTACAGGGATGTGCCACCACCACACCTGGCCAAGGTGTTTTTTAAATGAACAAATGGCTCTTAGTTTTAATATAGTCAAACTTATCTTAAGAAGTGTTTCTTTTTTAAGCATTATTTATTATTTATTTATTTTTAGTTGTTAATGGACCTTTATTTATTTATATGTGGTGCTGAAAGACCCCAGTGCCTCACACATGCTAGGCAAGAGCTCTACCACTGAGCCACAACCCCAGATCCAAGAAATATTTGTTTACTCTTTTTTTTTTTAATATTTATTTTTTAGTTTTCGGCGGACACAACATCTTTGTTTGTATGTGGTGCTGAGGATCGAACCTGGGCCGCACGCATGCCAGGCGAGCCACATCCCCAGCCCAAATCTTTATTTATTTTTATGTGGTACTGAGGATGGAACCCTGTTCCTTTCACATACAAGGCGGGCCCTCTACCACTGAGCTACAGCCTCAGCCCCGTTTCTTTACTCTTTTGGCCTTTTTTACTCCAAGGTCAAAAGATAACTCTTTTAACCATTAAGCTTTTAAAGTTGTTTTGACACTAAGAACCTTACTCTATCTGATATTGAATTTTTCATGTGGTATGATATTAGTAGTTAGTTTAATTTTTGTTTTGAGATGGGGTCTCACTGCGAGGCTGTATTTGAACTCTTGAGCTTAAGTGATCTGTCACAGCCTCCTGAGTAATAGGAGGTGTAAGTATGTGCTGCTGGCCTGGCCCAAATTTCACTTAAAAAAACAAACAAACAAAAAACCTACATCTTTTGCTCTGGAGATGGCCCAAATTCTGCCTTGAATTTGCCTGTGCTTTTGTAAGTAAACACACACACATACGCACACAGGGTGTGTGTGTTATGGACGGAATGTTTGAGTTTCTGAAAGTTCACATGTTTAAGCCCTGACTCTCGGTAAGATAATATTTGGGGATGGGACATTCAGAAGACAACTGGTGTTAGAGGAGATCATGAAGGTGGAGTCTGGTCCAATGGGATTCACCCTCTCATATGAAGAGACACCAGGAAGTTTGCTTTCCTTCTTTCCCTGTCATGTGTGGCCGAAGTGTGAAGGTGGCCATCTGCAAGCCATAAAGAGAGACTTCACTAAAACCTGATCATGCCGTCACCTTATCTTCGACGTTTTGCCTCCAGAAATGCAGGAAAGTATATTTCTGTTGTTTAAGCTGCATGGACTATGGTATTTTGTTATGAAAGCCCAAGCAGACTGATATGTATTGTTTTACATTTATTCTTTGGTATTTGAAGTTTTCTTTATTAGACACTGCTTGTGCAGAGAGTCAGGAATAAGAATTAGAGATCCCAGGCTTCAGAGAGCCTACATCAAAATGCCTTACCCCACACAGCATTACCCTAGGCCACTTTTAAAACTTTCTTTTCATGAAAAATCTGCTTTATGAGGAGGCACCTCAGATTATGGTTGCAAATATCCTAGGGTTTGTGTTGGAGGAGAGAGGGATGCAAAGCAGCAGTCAGGAAAGATTAGCATATAGCCAGCTGTTTTACTCAGCTCCTAATTTTCTTGAAGATTCAAAGAGACCAGACATTTGAGTAGTATATATGTGGGGCCAAGTTGTATGCACACGGGTGCTGAGTCACAAGAGAAGCAAAACAGAACTTCTGCAGTTCTTCTGGTTTGTTCCGCCATAGTGTTGCAGGGCTGCCTCTTGCCTCAGGCCAGAACCACCATCTCACACATAGCATATCAACATGGATCCTAGATGCCCCAGTAATATCTCATAGTTCTCTCTTTCTTTCTTATGTACTTTCTCCAGGGACAGTAGTCTGGGAGGGCCTCAGTCTCCTGAGTAGTCTAGACTACAGGAGCACCACAACCAGCTGTCAAAGGGTTTTTTATTTTGTTATTTTGATGATGCTTCAATTTGAACCCAACTCTACTACTGAGTTACATTTGCAGCCACTTTTTTCCCTCTTTCCACATTTTTCATTGGTGCATTATAGTTGTACATAATGATGGGGTTTGTTGTTAATATATCAGTATAAACACAATACATAACAATATATTTTGGCCATTATCACTCCCCAGTCCTTTTAGTTTTATTTGAGGCAGGCTATCACTAAGTTGCTGAGGCTGGCCTTGAACTTAGTGATCCTCCTGCCTTAACCTCCTTAGTAGCTACCACACCCCTCTATTAAAGGGTTTTTATAGAGTTATTGAATGATTTTAAATAGGATTAAAGTGGCTATTAATTTATTTTAGGATGGTTTTTAGAGTAGAATTGAAGATATTTTGGAAGCTGGGTGTGGTGGTGTTTGCCTCTAAACTCAGCTACTTGGGAAGCTAAGACAGGAGGATCACAAGTTTGAGGTCAGCCTGGGCAACTTAGTGAGACCCTGTCTCAAGAAAAGGGTAGTGGGCTGTGAATATAGCTCAGTGGTAGAGCATCCTTGGGTTCAATTCTCAATGCCACACACACACACAAAAGATATTTTCTAATGGAGAGATCATTCAGAAGACTATGTAGTCCAGACAGGATATAACTTGAAGAAGACTAGACTCTAGAGAGTACAGATTGTGGTAGAATCTAAAGAAATTGACCATTGATAAGATCATGCTGTGACGAAGGGAGGAAAGAGGGGCAGGAATCAAGGATGATTCCCAGGTTGGGCATTTGAGTGGATAGTGGGGCTATTTGTTTCCAGCTCATGTTTAGGTATAGAAGGAACTTGTAGGGAGGAAGACAGGATTTTGAAATGTTTAGTTTGAGTTTTCTCTGACATAATCAAGTGGAGATGGATAGATCTGTCTGTAGTCTTGGAGGGAGGTGGGAGAGTTAGAGTGAGGAAGAGAGGGAGAGATATTGAGCTTAATAGAATTTTAGGAGTGGTTGAAGAAAGACTTGAATCAAGATTGAGGACAAAAATCTCTGGGGACATCTAGATTTAGTGGACATATGTAGAAAAGGGCACTGGGAAAAAGATTAGGAAGAAGAAATCACAAGAGAAACTGTCAGCAAAGGATTTTACAGCAGCAGCCTTGGCTTCATCTCTACCTTCAGACCAGACTTTCCATTTTGCATCCAGTATTTGATCTTTGTCCTCAGACCTTTCCTTACTGAGCATTCTCTGCTGGGAGAGACTGTATATGAGAAATAGTTTATTTTTGAACCCAGCAGTTGCTGGTTCTTTTTGATTTTCTCTAAATTCTGCTTGAAAACAAGTACTTTATTCTTTAGCTCATCTCCATTTGCCCCTTTTGCTTTACATATAAAAGAAACCAGTTGACACTTTGGACATTCTGCTTAGAAATTACCTTAGTTAGAAGTAACAATTCACTTTCAACATTTTCTGTTTTCTGTCTTACCATAGGCAGTGGTTTTGTTAAGTTTTTTGCCATTTCATAACAAGGGTCTTTTTCCACCTTCTGAGATGACATTTTACTTGCTCTTAAGGCCTTTCCAGTAGCCTCCTCAAGGCTTACTGGGTTTTTGCTGGTGAGATCCTTCAGGCCCTTCCAGCTTGTACCCACAATCCAATCTTGAAACTAGGGTCACATGTTTTAGATTTTTGTTATGTCATACCCCAGTTTTAGGTATTATATTCTATTCTGGCAATTGTTGCAGTGTAACAAGCCACCCCAAACCTAGTACCAGAACCTGCATGGCTTCTCCTAGCTTAGTCTTGGAAGTCACTCAGTGTCACTTCCATCACCTTCTCTTGTCGTGAGCAAGTAAATGCCAACCTGGATGCAAGGAGAGGGGGACTTAGATTCCACATGTTTATGGAGGAGTGGTAAATTCACATTATAGAAGATTATGTGGGATGTAAGATATTTTTGCAGCATCTTTGAAAAATAGTCTGTGACAGATGGATAAAATAAAATGCACAGGATTACAAAGGAAACCCATTATATTAAAATATTGTTATTAAGCTAATATTGTTATCAAGTGTATATGCTTATTTAACATAATATACAAGTTATAGTGGCATATAATATAACTATAGTAAATTAGAGGTTGGAGAAAATAATTTATTTTCCCATTAAAGTTTTTCTTTTAAATCCTATCCACAAATCCAATGGTCTCAAGGCTGGGGCTGTAGCTCAGTTGGTAGAGCGTTTTCCTTGCATATATGAGGCACTGGGTTAAGTCCTCAGCACCACAAAAAACAAAACAAAACAAAACAAAAAACCACACACACAAGTAAATAAAATAAAGGTATTGTGTCCATTTACAACTAAAAAAAAAACCTTTGTTAGTGTAATTGTGTTTGCAGAAGTCATATTGCTGTGGATTAGGAAGTATATTTGTGTGTATACGGGGGAAGGAGGGTGAGAAGGCAGAGCCTATCAGGGAGGCCACCATAGGGTAAGTTCAACATACAGCATTTGTTTTCCTTTTAAGATAAGGGTTTAATTTTTGTGTTTTTTTTTAGATAGGGAAAGATACTAATGAGGAAATTTGAAGATATAGGAAAGATAGAGGGTATTTGATGTTTCTGAGAAGGCAGGAGAGAGTCTACTCTGGAGGTTAGGAGGAAGCATTAATCTTGGACAGGAGGCAAGGCTAGAGGAAAGGAATAATGGAAGGATGTTTGTGAGTGCTGTTCATTTATTACATCATGTCGCACTCTGAGAAAAATGTAGGCATAACACATTTCAACACAGGAGCAAGAGAGACCAGGACAAATCTCCGAGAATATTGAAGCAGAGTGCTGGACAATATGAAACTGTTGGGAAGGGAATTGGGGGGTGAGGGAAGGTAATGAAATAGGGACCAAAAAATAATATAATTAATGTAAGTGGTTGGGTGATTGGATGCAGAAGACAAGATTTTCCTAGTTTGTAGTTTTTTGTTTTTAATACCTTTCTTAGACCAATCATTTTCCTTCCCACGAGTATTGATACAAAGAACAGTGGAATGAAAATAAAATGTATTTATATATTTTGACTTCTGCCTTTTTAGATTTAGCTTTTCTTAAGTGTCTTTTGAGTATACATGAGTAATACTTGGAATGCTATTGCCACACAAAAATGTAAAAGTATTGGAGTTTCTTTTTCCTGGTTATTTGGGTTGATTTTTTTTTTAATTTTTTTTTTTTTTTAGTTGTATATGGACTCAATTTCTTTTTGTTTTATGTGGTGCTAGGATTGAACCTAGGGCCTCACACTTAGGGGGCATGTGTTCTACCACTGAGCTACAACTCCAGCCCTATTTGGTTGATGTTGAAAAGCACTACCTGTTTTTGTTGCTTCCACACTTACAACTAGACAGAATTGGCCTCAAAGGGTTCATAGTTTTCTTTGTCATTAGCCAACAGATGCTTGCTACAGTGTTTTGCTCACTGTCTGTTTAATGTGAGGGCATTTGTGTATGCTAATGAGAAGAGCAGTACTATACAGTCACTTTTTTAAAAAATAATAAATAACTGCCTTTAGTTTACACACAGATCCTGTACTAAGTGATCTAATTTGTGTTTAAGCAAGCTATTATTAACATCTGGAAAATCTAACTTCAAATTGCTTTGACTATCTAATGCATCACTTTGCTAAGTCTCACATATAATGTAACTGCTTTGTATCTGTCGAAGAATTGCTTCATATCTTCTTGAAATGTTAAAAAATTTTAAACTTCAGGTCACTACTATATATCATAAATAACCTTAGGTTTCTAGATATAAACACTAATTAAGCACATATATGATATAAAATTTTAAATTTTTTTAGGGGGTGGCTGTGTACCAGGGATTGACCTCAGAGGCACTAGGTCACTGAGCCACATCCCCATCCCTATTTTGTATTTTATTTAGAGACAAGGTCTCACCGAGTTGCTTAGTGCCTTGCTTTTGCTGAGGCTGGCTTTGATCTTGTGATCCTCCTGCCTCAGCCTCCTGATCTGCTGGGATTACATGCCTGCAGCACTGTGCCTGGCATGAAATTGTTAATTCTTAAATTATGTCTATATTTAAAAATTTTTAAATAAAATATATTATTTTAAATTGTGGTTAAATGTCTAAGCTCTCTCCACGGCCCCCATCTCCTATTAGCAGCTATTTTTATCTTTTCTTTCAGCTTAACTGTATCATGCCTGCCTGAGAAGCTGTCCTGGGAGTGGGCTCAGGGTCTTTTGAGCAGGAAGTCCTGGGTTTCCAGGTAGGTGGAAAGCAGTTCCTAGAGGTGAGGTGCAGTGAGGCATTTCCTATTGGCCCTTTGCACTGTTTACCACTTGGGGAGAGGTGTGGCCACAGGAGGACCAAATCTTATCACCTGTTCTAAGAACAGTAGTGATTTTAATAATCTTTTAATGGGCCCTCTAGACTTAATTGTCCCCAACTTTATTCTTTAAAGTCTATTCTTTTGTTGTATGGCTGGAAAGATTTCTCTAAAACTCCTGCTCAAAACCTTTCTGTGCTTCACAATTTTCATAGAGATTTAATTTAAGTTCAAACTTCTTCACATGACCTTTTAAAGGTTCTTTGTGCCTTGTTCTGACCACTGCTTACTTTTTCATTCTTATCTGTTTTTTGAACTCTGTTGTTATTATCCCAGGTACTCTTTCTTACCTCTACAATTTTGCACACAATTATTAACTAATGTATATTTTCTTGATGCATTCAAATGCATGTCATGTCTTATAAATGTGACTATTATTTAATGCTTTATTGTTCAGTTGGCTCATCTCCATCTGAATCCATTAAATCAGTTTCCCAGCCTACCTGTCCCTTCAGCTGCATAATAATGCAATATTTGTAACATAGTTTTTATTTGAAAGTGAATCATCTTGACTTAAGTAGGAAGAACTGATTGACCTAATTGAAGAAGGGTTAGCATTAAAATGAAAAAAAAAAAGAACAATTTAAAGAACTGATTGTTAAGTATGTGAATATGAGAATCATTAATGATAGAAATAATGGATTACTTGATTATGAAAAAACATCTAGCCACTCAGTAACTCAGCTGTCCTATCATAAAATAATCTGCATACAAACAGAATAAAAATAATTTTTGCTATCTTATTCTAAGCCAACATTAATTGAAATTTTAATTTAGGAACTATGCTAAAAAACTTATTTTGAGGAACTGAATTTACTTTTACTATGAACATTTTTATGTTAAGCTGTTTGATTCTGTTAAATATGGCATGAAAATATATCTTTATATATGACTGAAAAATTATTATTATTATTATTACTATATTTATTTTTTAGTTTCTGTGGACACAACATCTTTATTTTATTTTTGTGTGGTGCTGAGGATTGAACCCAGCGCCCCGTGCATGACAGGCGAGCGCACTACCACTTGAACCACATCCCCAGCCTGTGACTGAAAAATTATTAACTAAAGAAAAGAATGACTTGCTAAGGCATCCTTTTAAAAATATTAATCAAATTATGAGTAAGAAAGGCTTTCAATCTCTATCTTAAGAGATATAGTATTGTCATAGGTTTTAGTCATTGTTCTAGTTAGGCTGGCTAGTGTTAGCACCTTAGGTTTTCTTATGAGTCAAATGAAGTATTTTATTGTGAAGATCAATTGGATTTTATGTATCAAAGTGCTTTATAGGTATTCTACATGTAGATATTAAGGAAGATTTTAGTCCTTTTTCTGCCAGCTTTTTAACTCTAGGCTGGTGACTTCATTTCCTGAGCTTTTATTTATAGGTAAGTACCATTTACATTGAGTTCAGCTCTTATAAATTATGAACATTATTATTTTTATTTTTTTCTTTCATCTGGTTACCTTCATTCCCCTTGCTGTTGTTATTATTATCCATTAATCCTCAACTATTTTATTTAATTTGGTAATTACTATCAATTTTGAAAGGGCCAGTAGTATTAGCCTCATTTTACTGATAAGGAAAACTGAGACTAAGGGAGTTGCACAGTTGATTACTGCTAGAGGTAGGATTCCAATTCAGGTTTCTGGTGCCAAGTTTCTTTTTTTGAAAAGCATGTGGCTGAAGTAAAGACATATTGCCATGTACCTCAGTTAAAGAAAACTTTTGTTCTCTGTTGTTTTCCCTTTGCTTTTTGAAAAATCTCTGGACTATCTGAAATATGTAGGTCAAGCAAGAATTAAGACAAACACATCCAGAAATATTCATTTTTATCTAGAGTTCACTTATGAGTGCTATGCTTTACTATTTCCTATTGAAAACTTCAGACACCCCCTAGTTCAGGCATGCCAGCCCTAGATATTGACCTTACTTAGAACACCATTGCTTTTGGTGTGATTGACAGTGCTGATTTAGGCAGAACTCTGATTTAAAAACTTCTGTCTTGGTGCCATTTTTTAAAACCCATATTTCTCTTTTTGTCTGTTGAAAGTTTCCTTTCAGACAAGTTTCATTACTTGTTCATTTCCTTTTAATCCCATGAATGATCATTGGTCATAGTTTAATTTTTTCCCCCCAGTGATGACTTTGAAATGGCATGGCAATTTGAGATCTCATTTATTGCCCTTCTTGAAAACACTGGAGTGCACAAAACTGCAGCTACATTGGCCTTTTCTGTGAATATATCAAGTTCATTGTGGCTATAGGGCCTTCTAACTTGTCTCTTTGTGGGGAATAGTCTCTATCCAGCCTGCTGGTTTGCTAGATTCTTCTTTTTCCTCCTTCTCCCCTTCCTCCTCCTCCTCCTCTTCCTTTTTCTTTTCTTCTTTCTTCATGGTACTGGCAATTGAACCCAGAGGCACTCTACCACTGAACTATCTCCTCATTCCCCATTTATTTATTTATTTATTTATGTATTTATTTGAGACTGGGTCTTGCTGAGTTGCCCAGGCTGGTTTTGAACTTGTCATTCTCCTGCCTCAGCATCCTGAATCATGCTAGATAATATTTCTCTATAATATTAAATCTCAGCATAAATGCCCCCTCTCAAAGAGATTTCTTTGACAATTCATTATAGATTAGTGATTTCTCAACCCTCTTAATTACATGACTGTTTTGTCTTCTTCTTAGCACATAATCACTAATTGATATTTATTTCTCATTCATCTCCTCCTATGGGGAAAAGTGACAGTCTGTCTTGTTTACTGCTGAATCCCCAGAACTTGGAATAGTGTTTGCCATAGTAGGCATTCCGTTAAATATTTGTCGAGTAACCAAACAAATGAAAAATTTTTCTATTGGCTACTCATTATTTTAAAAAATTATTTCTTTTGTTTCTTTTCCTTATTTCTCTTTCTATTCACCCCTGCCTTTTTTTTGTAAGTTAGGAAGGTATAATTAATGTTTTTGCAACTAATATTTATGTATTTAAAAAAATTTTTTTTCCTGTCCTGTGCCCTAGTAGGATTCTTTTGGAGGAAGGGGAAAACCTTGTAATCTCAAAGGTGTGATTATTTCAGTCTATCTACTGCTTGCCAGGTAGGTGCCAGAGCTGGTACAGTCTAGTCATAGAAGCAATTAACAGGTAGGAAAGCTGGCTCCTAACAGCTGTTGCAGTCCTGCTTGAGTTGGCCTCTCCCCCAAGGGACCATCAATGTCTACCTAGGAAAATGAAATTGCCTTCTCATAAGCATTTTTCTCTAGAACAAAAACAAATTCTAGGTTTATAAAATGAGTTAAGAGTGTGTCAACAGAATAGAACAGGGTAATGACCTGCTGCTGCAATTTGAATTTGAGTCAAAGCAGCAATGTTTATTTTCAGAAGAGACAACATGAAAATGGTGGCACTTTTAGTTGTATTGAAATGACTTTATTATGCTGGAAGAGTAGATTTAATAACTTAATTATCATTATTGTTGAGGAAAGTGGCAATCGCATAAAATATAATTTTTGACCCTCAGAACTTTGGTTTATGTGATTGTCCTTGAATCCCTGATTCTTCAATTCACTTTATGGAATGGGGGAAGCATTTTTGAATAAATGCTACTTGATTTCTTTTCATTCTTCCAGTTGTTAATTCATTCAGTATGGATTCTTTTCAACCATGACCTTCCATGGTTATGTGCCATAATCAATGTATACACAAAGGCTTTTAAAATGGATTTAAATGAGTTTTATATTAATACTATGTCAGTTCTGTGTTGTATATTGATATGCCTTAATGATATTGGTCTTTCTTGATCCTTTTTGGAAGTCTTATTTGATGTGATTCTCAGTCTGAGCTAGTTGTGAAATATGTTTCCTTTGAAAGTTGCCTTCTAATTAGTATCCTCTTCTTTAGAATCCCTGGACTTTCATGAAACTCAAAGAATTTGTGTCACTACATTCTGCTTTAAGCATTTTGTTACAAAAATTAAGAGAAGCTCCATGCAAAATGGGGGTATTAACTTTTTGAAGGAATGAGATGTGCCTTAAAAAGCTATCAGGTTGTCTAATGAAGAATAAAAAATCACATAATCATCTAAGTTGATTAAAAATATTTTACAAGATATAACACCCTTTTATGATAAAAAGTCAACAAACTAGAAATAGAGGAGAACTACCTTAACATTATAAAGGCCATTTATGAAAAGCCCACAGCTGACCTTATACTCAATGTGAAAAACTAAGATTTTCCTCTAACCCCAAGAACAAAGCAAGAATTCCCATTCTTGCTACTTCTGTTTAACATAGTATTGGAAGTCCTAGCCAGAGCAATTAGAAAAAGAAAAAGAAAAAAAGTTATCCAAATTAAAAAGGAAAAAGTAAAAGTATCTGTTTGCAGATGAGATGATCTTATATGTAGAAAACTCTAAAGATCACACCAAAAAAATGGTTGGAACTAATAAATTCAGCTAAGTTCATGGATACAAAATCAACCCTCAAAAATTTCTATATAATAACAATGAGCAGTCCAAAAAATTAAATAAGATATAAATAAGTGGAAACACATGTTTACGGATTGAAAAACATAACATTCTTAAGATACTACCCAAAGCAATTTATAAATTTCATCCCTTTAAAATCCCAATGACTTTTTTGTAGAAGCAGAAAGATTTATCCTTATGAAATCTCAAGAGATCCCAAATAGCCAAAAAAATATTGAAAAAAGATAAAGTTGGAAGTCTTACACTTCCTTATTTCAAAACTTGAAAGATCGAACAAGGCTCGTCCTCGGAGAAAATGCCCATTTATTGAGGAACAGCTCTGCATATTTATAGAGCTGGGGGTGATTTGACAGTTAATGACAGTTTAATGGTTGAAGGGTTCTTGAGAGTTG